GTTTTATCAAATTCAATCTCTACAGGGACTGGTTTGAATTTTGATCATTGTTAAAGGATGATGACTTTTTCGGGTCCGAAGTTTGATATTCCGCTATTCAATGACAAGACAAATTTTACAGTATGACAGTACACGGTTTAAGATATTCTTATGCAGCAGGGTGTTGATCAAGCTTTGGAGGAGAAGAAACCTGAAGGATTGAAGGATGTTGAATTGAGTTCCATGCAAAAAAGGACAGTTAGCACAATTCGTTTGGCACTCGCCCCGGAGATCAAGTACAATATTATACAAGAGACCACACCAAGGGGGCTGTGGGAAAGGTTCGAGGGGATTTATGCGGCAAAGTCGATGACCAACCAATTGTGCTTGATGATGGAGCTTTATTCGTTGAAGATGTAAGAACATACTGCAATTCAAGACCACATCAATGCTTTAATCAGCTAGTTTGTCAACTTATGAATATTGATGATGAGATTAAAGAAGAAGAGAAGACGCTACTCCTATTGTCTTCCTTGCCGAAGTCGTACAAGCCGTTAGTTCCGACGATAATTGCAGGGAAGCAGACTTTGAAGTTCGATGATGTGACAGCACTCCTACGTGAGAATGAAAGAATGATGTGAAAGGAGAGTGCATCTAATGGTGGTGAGAGTGCACTAGCTTTTGAAGGTTCTAATCGAGGGAGGAGTACGGGGAGATGTGACGGTTATCAAGGAAGGTCAAAATCTCGGGTTCGAGACGACAGCGAAAAGAAGTGCTATTATTGCGGAGAGAAGGGTCACATTCAGTTTAGATGTTCCCAGATGTGTGATGATTTGAAGAGTATTAGACAGATGAAGCTTCAAGAAAATGGGAAGAAAACGGACTCCTCAGTGGTTGTGTGTGATGAAGATGTGGTTTTATTGATGCAGAGTACAGGTATTGATACGAGCAACACTTGGATGTTAGATTCTACAGCCTCTATGCATGTTTGACACAACAAAAATTATTTTAACACATTAAAGACGGACGAAGAATTTGACGACGTGATTGTTGGAAACAACGAGAAGATGAAGGTTGAAGATGTTGGAAGTGTTCGTCTCAAAGTTCACACTGGGAAGGTCGGAATTCTTCATCATGTGAGATATGTGCCGACATGTGGTGCTAATTTAATTTCGTTGGGTGAGATAACATTACGTGTGTATAAGTATGTGGGTGAAGGAGAATGATGCAATGTGTATAGAGATGGTGATTTGATTTTGCGATGGAGGAAGAGTAGCAATCATATTTGCTATTCAGATGGGCGATCCGTTAATGGTGCAGATTACTCTTCTCAGACTCGTATCTACAAGTGAGAGGTGAAGAATAAGATGAAGAGAGTGAGTTTTTCTAAAGTCGTTAAGACACTTGGGGATTTTTCGTCGAGGGAGGATATGTTGGGTATCTACTCAAACTCCAAGTTATGATAGAGTTTTTAATTCTTTGTATAACTTCATGAGAATTAGATAAGGTTAGGGATCTATCATGATTAGGAGTTTGGGTTCCATCATGATTGGGAGTTTGAATCTTATTCTACTTAGGAAGTTAGGCTAGAGATAGGGTTTTGGTTTCTCTATATATATCCTTCTATTGTCAGAAAGAGAAGAAGAAGTGTAGAGAGAAAGAGAGAGAGGGTTTGGCAGTCTTTGTCCGTGCAAAATATTGTAATTTGGAGGTGATAGTGGGTTGATTTTGATCCCGTAGTTTTTCCCTGTTGAGGGTTTTCCATGTTAAATCTTGTGTGATTTTATTTGCTGCGTTTGGTGGTTTTTTGGGGGGTTTTGCGAGATCTAAAAATCCCTACATATCATTGCTTTCATTTTAACGAATGTAAATAGATTTCTGGTCCCTGATGTTCCCCAATACGATCCTCACTCAGATTGACCACAGTTTTACTATAACGAGCTTCATGTACATGTGTTAGGAAATCATTTTTGTTCTAGCTCATGTCAGGCATATCCTTATAGTAAGGACAATTCCAATTCCCGTTTCAGTCTCTAACTTTTACAACATTAGCTCTTAGTATAATTTCTGCTATCACATCTCATCTTGCTCTCGATTTGCATCTGTATAAGAAATTCATTCTACAAAGGGTGGTTAGATGCTTAGGTTTAGTAATCCTTCCACATTGAGATAAAAAATAACATAGTAAATTGACATTAAAATAAATGGCTCCATTTTTATCATAAAAGTTTTAAAAATTTTTACCTTTGATGTTAGCGCAGATGAATATTCACCAATATCTCTACTTTCCTAACTCAAGTTTCTTTTTTGGTCAGCATTTGGTATACAAACATTGCATTTTATAGATTTATATTGAGTGGTATGTTTAGTTAGTGGGTTGAATGTTGAATCTGACAATATTTGTATGGATCATTAAATTTTATACTGGTTTTGGTCATGGTTTTGAAGCGCTTATGGTTTTGAAACCTAGTTTATTTTGTTTCTTGTACTTGACTCAACTACTCGGTCTCAATTATCTACATGTTTGGTATTTTCAGGTTTGGTGTGATTTTCGATGTCAAACAGGTATTTCTAAGTAATCAGGTTATTTATAGGTCAAGTTATTTATAGGTGTTTACAAGTTTCATAAGAACTTTTCGCTAATTCAGGTATGTAGTTAATAACAATTATGAATAATCATGTTATTACAAGGTTTCGTGTGATTGTCTATATCAAATATGTAATTTCATATGAGTTATGCACAATCTGGTTATTTACATGTTTAGATTTTTGAATTTTTCATGTTATACATGTTGTTTTGTTAAATCAGGTTTTTACAGGTTTCGTGAGAATTTTTCAGCTAATTCAGGTACGCCGTTCATAACAGTTATAATCAATCATGATATTATAGGTTTCGTATTAATTTTCATGTGAAATAGGTATTTTCATACGAGTGACACACAATCTAGTTATTTACATGTTTGGATTTTTGAATTTTCATGTTATATGTGTTTTTATGTTGAATCAAGTTTTTTACAGGTTACGTGAGAACTTTTCAGCTAACTCAGGTACGTAGTTCATCACAGTTATGATCAATCATGATATTATAGCTTTCGTATGATTTTTCATGTCAAATAGGTATTTTCATACGAGTTACGCAATCTAGTTATTTTTGAATTTTCATGTTATAAGTGTTTTTATGTTGAATCAAGTTTTTTACAGGTTTAGTGAGAATTTTCTACTAATTCAGGTACGTAGTTCATAACAGTTACGATCAATCATGCTATTACATGTTTCGTATGATTTTTCCATGTCAAACAGATATTTATGATGAATTCGGTTATTTACTGGTTTAATATGTTATTTTCGCATTTTTATTTTAGTTAGACTATCACCTATAACGGTCACAAATAAATTTGTCTTTAGTAAGAGGTAAACTCACCATGGTGACCATATACATTTTTTTCTATAAACTTCAACACCATACCATATAAGAAAAGTGGGAAATGTCTATTCAACAAAAGTTTTTTTTTTAAGATACCAACTAAACACAAGAAAAGTTTGTAAATTGGTTTCCCCCCATGTTTTATATGTGAATCAAACACAAACAATCTGCCTCTTGAAAAACTTTGGAAAACCCAAAACCAATGTTTCTTACATAGAATGGTAAGAAAAGTTTGTAAATTGGTTTCCCCCCATGTTTTATATGTGAATCAAACACAAACAATCTGCCTCTTGAAAAACTTTAGAAAATCCAAAACCTATGTTTCTTACATAGAATGGTATTTCCCAATAAAATGTGAAACCAACCAAACAGCCTCTTAAAAGAGTTTTTAAAAAAAGTTTCGTAAAGGCAGATAGACCCTTGTAGTTTTCGTGTTCATAGACTAGTAAAGGGATCTAGATGCGACAATAGAACTACACGGGGTCTATCTACAATCAATCATATTAAATATTTGCTACAGGAAATTAATACAAAACAACCATGCGATTTGGTTGAACATCAATGTGTCGAAAACCAAATTAAGTCGAACGAGATTGAGAACAAATTTACTTCACAATAACTACGCTGATCAGCCCGAAGGGGGGAAAATAAAATCAACGAACATGAACTATATGCTACCAAACTAAAGAATCCAGGAAACGAAAATGTCTAGGAGATCACAGAAATTCCAGGCACTAACATTACTATATTTAACTAAATTCAAAATAAACACACGCATGTATAATTAGATCCTCGGTAAAATTTTACTTACCACCGCCGAATCCGATCGAGGCTCGGAAGATGACGGTGGAGGCCTGACGATGGAGGTGATCCGATCGAGGATGACGCCATCACAGTCGAAGCTTAGGGCTTGGGAGCGAGAAGAGGGGAGGCTGAGCAGCGGGTGAGCGGAGGACGGGATCTCAGGCGAGGTGAACGGTGGGGTGAAGGCGGAGAGAAGAGGAGAGCAGTAAGAAGAGATTTCCGATGTGGGATTATTTCGAAAGGGTAGGAGGTGGCAGTGGCATTAGCAAAAATAGCAAGGTATTTGGCTATAGAGGAGAAAATAAGGAATAGGACCGTTAGGGCTTGAAACTAAATTTTAGGTTTTCTTTTGGGTAAATTTCTCACAAACCCTCCCAAAACTTTGAGCCATTTACCAAGAACCCTCATTGAGTTCGTTTTTTTTCACAGTAGAGTTCCTATCAAAACCACCCCCATAGGAGTGGGGTGATTTACGTCATAAATAGAAAAGTTGTAATTCCAAAACTAACCCACCCGTGAATGATTTATGATATAAATCGCTCTTTTCTATAGGGTCCAGCCGTACCCCTCAAGTGGGGAGCTCAAAACAAATGATTACAGAACAAGTTGCGAAGAAAATAGTTAGATCCTATGCATATTTGGTTCTAGTACCATAGTTACATCAAATCCTACGCCAGATCCCTTGTTTGATAGCCCATGTAACTATCATCTCTACAAACTGATCCCAACCACTAGTGACTTCCAAAGTCAGTATAAGATAGCAAAGAGAGACTCCGTGACCATTTTAAGAGAGATGGGCAGTACTGTAGAACAAAAGCCTCATGCTGTGTGCATGCCACTTCCTGCTCAAGGACACATCCATGGGATGCTGAAACTTGCCAAGCTACTCCACTTCAAAGGCTTCCACATCACCTTCGTGCACACAGAATTCAACTACAACCGCATCATCACCAGCGACCAAGTTTCAGCACTCGAGGGCCTGGAAGACTTCAGATTCGAGGTCATCCCCGATGACCTACCCCTATCAGGTTCCCCGGATGCTGTTGCTTTATGCCTTGCTGTTCGAGACAATTTGAGAGCTCCGTTTCGTGAGCTCTTGAAGAGGCTCAATGAACCTTCTTCAGGAGTGCCTCCACTTACCTGCGTTGTCTCTGATAATTGTGCCAGCTTCACTCTTGAAAGTACAGCAGAGTTTAGGATTCCGAACATATTCTTTTGCTCGGCCAGCGCTTGTGGTTTCCTCGGCACCATCCACTATAAGGAGCTTGAAGAAAGAGGAATTGTACCGCTAAAAAGTATGAAAGCTAAGTATTGACATAATGTAATACATAAGAAATAATTCATAATTTCGCTAAATAGTATCTTTATATCACTGTCCTGCTTTAATGTCCTAAAGAAAGAGAGTTTTGCTCACCAGACCCAGAATTCAACGAAATGACCACTTGCCACGGAATCCCAAACAAAGAAATTACTAGCATAAATTGGCAACACCGAAGTTTTGAACTTACTACTGTTTTACCAATAAGATAACAATCTTATATTTAATTATACTAACTAGGGGTGACTTGCGCTCCAAAAATGTTTCTCAATAGAAACTAATAAATATCTGCAAATCGCTGATTTTCTCTATAGTTTTGCAATCAAAATGAAAAAGGTTCTGTATACTATGTATAGTAAGGATTCACACAAGAAAGATATCAAAGTCTTCGTTATCAAACATGACATAACTTTCCTTTTTCTATAATCGCATGATAGGAAACATATTAACTTTGCAATATCACTCAACTATCACTAGGCCAAGGATCTTCTAATTATACTATTATCTCAGTTACATACACTATGCAACTTTAAATGACAGCAACCATGTCTTTAAGCCACAACATGTTTTGTTCATGTCTCTGATCATTGACCTTGTTAATTGTCACCTTATGTTTCCTGTACATGATTGATAACCAGGCAAAAACGATCTCATCAATGGGTATCTCAACACTCCAATTGACTGGATACCCGGGATGAAGAACATAAGGTTGAAAAATCTTCCAAGTTTTCTACAAACAACCGATCCCAATGACATCATCTTTAACTACCTCAAAAATGAAAGCCAAGCGGCTAAGCAAGCCACTGCAATCATTATAAACACCTTGGATGATTTGGAAGACTCGGTTCTTGAAGCAATGTCATCAATCCTTCCACCAATCTACACTGTAGGCCCCCTAACCTTGCTATGTCATCAAATTACTGACAAATCAATGAAAGCAATTGGGTCCAATAACCTGTGGAAGGAGGATGCAGGTTGTTTGGAGTGGTTAGATGGGAGAGCACCCAAGTCAGTAGTATATGTAAATTTTGGGAGTTTAGCAGTAATGACGAACCAGCAACTTGTAGAGTTTGCTTGGGGGTTGTCAAATAGTGGTCAGGATTTCCTATGGGTGATCAGGCCTGATGTTGTGATGGGTGGCTCTGCTAGTCTACCAAAAGAGTTTTTTGAAGAGACAAAGGAAAGAGGTTTGCTTGCTACATGGTGCCCACAGGAGGAAGTGCTGATGCACTCTGCAGTTGGAGGATTCTTGACGCACTGTGGATGGAACTCGATGATGGAGAGCATAAGTGCAGGTGTGCCAGTAATATGCTGGCCATACTTTGGCGACCAACAAACAAATTGTTGGCATGCTTGCACCAAATGGGGCATAGGAATGGAGATCGATAATGACGTAAAAAGAGAGGACGTGGAGGGACTGGTAAGAAAGCTGATGAGGGGTGAGAAAGCGAAGGAGATGAAGAGACAAGCATGGCTATGGAAAGAAGCAGCTTACGAGGCAACTAAACCAGGTGGGAAGTCTTCAATCAATTTGGATAGAGTAGTTAAGGAGGTCCTCCTTGGAAAGGTTTGACGATTCAACGCATAAGGTTCTCTTCTTGAAAAAATATACTCGAGCCTCAACTTTCCTGGAGATACTATAGTTCAAAGTTTGGAAATTAAAAGAATAAGTTGTTCTATAGATTTCTCCTATTCCTCTGCAATGCTGGTATCCTTTCAAAGTTTTATGTATTTTATTTTGTTATGTATCATAGTCGGTTAGGATATTTTAAATAAGCATGTCATTTTCTTATCTGTTTTATGCCTGGTTAATGAAAAAGATCATGAACCCATTTTCTCTTAACAAAATAAAAGGACTCTCTTTCGGTCAAACACCAAAGATTATACTGTTTGGTAGTGAGATTTAACCTAGTGTTGGAGAGTAGGCGTTAAAATGGTTTAAGTCTACTGCTTTTTTATAATTCTTTCAAGTAGATGACTTCCTACTACTCAGAAACTAGAATGTCGTGAAACGTGCCGAACCACTTCATGCAGAAACTAAAAATTGTGGATTGTGAACTGACCATGTATATAATATAATACTAGTAGAAAATCATGTATTCTAGACGGAATATTCTAGACGGAATTTTTTCCGTCTCGAATGTATTAAACTAGACGGAAATTTTCCGTCTGGAATATTCCGTCTAGAATAAAACATTCTAGACGGAAAATTCCGTCTAGAATAGTATCCTAGACGGTTCCTTTATTTTTTTATTTTTTTTTTAAAATAACCAGATATTCTAGACGGAAATTTCCGTCTAGAATAATATCCTAGACGGAAATTTCCGTCTAGAAATTTCCAACCAATTTTTTTTTTTTTAAATTCACCCAATAAACCCGCGAAAGCCCTCCGTTCCCCCCTAAAACGAATAATTTCATTCCCAAATTTGTTTTCATTTCAGGAACCTCTCCTACTCCTCCCTCTCCCTCTCCCTCCTCAACCTCACCCTCTACCCCTCTCTCCCCCTCTACTCCCTCTCCATCCATGGCCTTCGACGATGAGCAGCTCCGACGAGCAGAGCTCCAAGGCCTTCTACGAGCTCTCCGCCATCCTCCTCTCGATCCTCCGCTCGCCGCCTGGATCCGGTCCTCCGCCACGGCGGATCCAGGCGGTGCCGAGATCTCCGTCCGCGAGGCGGAGCAAGATGACGCCGGCGGCGTTCGCTTCCCTCTTGCTGGGGGTTTAGTTCGCTATGATGCTTTCTGGAGCGGTGACGTTCGTGATTGGGATTATGCTGATGCCTTGGGTGCTAGGGTTTGTGATGGTGTTGTATTTTGTCGGGATTGTTTCGAGCTTGTCGGCGATGCTTTGCCCTAGCTCGTGGGTAGCGGGATCGAGAACAAGTCCCAAGGCGATCCACGGTAAAAATCTCTGTTCTTGGTTGAATTCGCCAAATTTGATGATTAATCTCGCTGAGCTGAGAAAAAAAAAATTAATCTTATATTTAGTTAAATGAAAGTAAATTTAATCTTATTGTGATTTGGATAAAATAAATGTTTGAGGAGTGACATATTTCTTGCACTGCGTGGTGTCCATGTTGTTATAGGAGTGAGAAACTTGGCTGCTGGTAATACTGTTAAAGAAGCAATTGTGAAGGGAATACCCGCTGCTAAAGTTGATGTACTCGAAAATTAATTGAGAATTTCTTTTTGTTCCCTTTGTTGTTCCTGATATTCTAATTTTTGTAAGCCTTGATGTCCATATGTCATTTTGCCATTTTTCTTTGACTTCATGTGTATTGTAGGGTTACATGATAGTATTCCTGTCGTCACACGGTTCTCTAGAGGCTCTTGCTCACTCTAATCATCCTGACTTTGGCTCTATAGACTGATGTTCTCTCCAATTTAGTTGTCGTGTCTGATCACTTCTGAATTTTTCTTGTCTCAAACCTTTTCGCTAAAATTTTTAGGCATTAAAGCTCAAACGAACTTGAAAGATATCAAGGTGGTTACATAAATTAACCACTTTCTCAATTTTGAAAGCTACCTCATTTCAACAATTTGTATCTCTTTATAATATTTCTTCTGCAGATTCACATTGCCTCCATTTCTAACACTCAAGAACTTTGAGGGCTTGGACCTTGGAAATATGGACAAGGTGAACATTGAATTGCACTATACAGTTACAGATCTTTCCGCTTTATTGATATTATGTTCTAAGTTGGTTTTGTTATCGTGCAGGCTGATGATTCTGGTCTGGCATCATATGTTGCTGGGCAAATTGACAGATCTCTGAGCTGGAAGGTACTTTAAAACTATATTTGTGCTTAAACTTAAAGATCCTCTAAATTCTTTTAGCTATAGTTCTGTATGGGCATCCTACACTTTTATATGAATAACCCTTGGCTTTCTCAATCCATGCTTCTGGAGCATAATTTCCATTCTGCTCTATAAATTCAGAAGTCCTATTTTCTTTTATTTAAAAAATTCAACCAATTATGGATTCATCGATAAATGAAACCAAACAATTGGTGAATGCTGTGAAAAGCTTGATATACTACACACATGGTAATGTTGTGAGTCTATGGTTTTTTATGATATCAAATTCTTCAGGAGGAAATTCAGTGTTTCACGTTGATGTTCTTCGCAATTCAGTGTTTCAGGAGGCAATTCAGTGTTTCAGGAGGCAATACAGGAATTATGGCTACTCCCTACTTGCTCTCGCATGATGGAATAGAGCTCCAGTTTGCAACAAATCATATTGGTATGTAGTTCACGGTTAAAAGGACTCATCCTTGGTACAGAAAGTCGGAACCGATGGACATAAAGAATAATAGATATTTCCTGAAGCACATAAAGATGAGATCTTAATTTTTGAGTTACTATCTCCTCAAAACATAAATTCTAAAGTGGAAAAATATTCCAACTCTTTCCTTCTTGTTAGTGCGAACAAAGGCTGTCTATCCCTATATTGAGTTGCTCTTGAACTGTTATTGCTACGCAACTGATTTTGGAAGATAAGTCTGTGAGCCTTATTTGTTTGGATATTTGTCCAAAAATCATATCAAAACATCTATTGGACTGGTCATATCGTTTCCTTCGAGTCAATTGCATGTTTCTGAGTACTTACCTTTTTTTCAACTATATGAGGATGGAAGTTTTAGTTTTGCAGTTTAGATTAATATATCCTATTTGTGCATCATTCACTTTGTTGCCTTGTTTTTCAAGTTATTTTCTTCTAACAAATCTTTTGTTGGAGAACATGAAGGATACATCCCGTAAAAGTAATACTGAAGAAGGATTGTCATTCTTTCATCAGAGGGCAACAGAATGACCTGCCCCTGTGGGATTCGTTTTGATAAAATCAATGAAGAGAAGGGGTAATATTAGGAATTTGGCACTGATATTTTTATGCTCATTATCTTTGAGTAGTATGTTGCTATTGTCTCTGTCTTTCTCCTTCGGTTTCGATCCATATATGTGAACTGTGAACTGGTTCTAATGCTTAAACGATTAACTTTTTTGCAGATATGTCAATTATCTTTTAAGAATTTTAGCAGATATTTGGCACTGGTGACACTCTCTAGCTCTTCCTATATTTTGTGTTCCTTTTAAGAATTTTAGGTACGATTTTTGATATGGAAATCAATTGTTTATAGGAGCTTAAATTTCAGTTCCTGCTTACGCTCAGAATGATGAGGAAGAAGGTGAAGAATGAGAAGAAGAGGGCATGAGTAAATGTACAGGAAAGGAGTTGAAGAAGCTTTTGCAGTGTCATAGCCATTGTAAATAATTTATGTAAAAGTTTGTAAATAATTTATGTATCTCTCTACTATTTTGGTGAATGTATTATTTGAATATAATGAAATTTGATATTGAAATATAATTAGATTGTGTTGGATATGAATATAATTTATTGTTTAATATTGTGTACATGCACTCAAAGTAGATTCTACAAAAAAAAAAAAAACACTGTAGCATAGTATCCTAGACGGAAATTCCGTCTAGGATGCTTAAATTCCGTCTAGAATGCTTTTTAAAAATTAAAAAAATTTAAAAAATTAATTTCCGTCTAGAATATGATTTCTAGACGGAAATTTCCGTCTAGAATACTTATTCTAGACGGAATTTTTTTCCGTCTAGGATAAATTATTCTAGACGGAATTTCCGTCTAGAATAATCCGTCTAGGATGTATTCTAGACGGTTTTGAATTCCGTCTAGAATATTCCGTCTAGGATGTATGCTAGACGGAATTTCCGTCTAGAATACTACATACTAGACGGAAATAAACTAGACGCGTATTCTAGACGGAATTTCGTCTAGAATACGCATCCTAGACGGAATTCTGGGTATCCTAGACGGAATTTTCCGTCTAGGATGCCTCATTTTTTAGCAGTGTAAGCATTATTTCTTAACATGTCCTCCCTCCTCACTGATGCTCGTGACACCGACATTATTGGCATAATGTTCTTTGACACTTCCTCACTGATGTTTATGACACCAACATTATTGGCTAAGCTTTGCACATGACCACAGCTACTACTATAGAGTTTAGTTAACAAAGTTCATTGTACTTTTCTCTTATTAAAAATTTTATTATAATTTTGTTCAACACCCCAAACCACGACCCCCACCACACACCCACCTACCCCCACACACCCAAAAAGACATCATGCTACTTTTGTTAAATTTACCTTAACGATAACAATTTTCATATATCTTTCAAGACATCATAATTGTTCACTTAATGATAATAAAATGATAATGTTATGACTATGGAAGTGGTCTCTACTGCTCAAGCACAATGATGAGAATCCAGATGAATTCCGCCAACTCACCAAACTAGCTCAATTAAAAAAAAAACTACACAAAGCAGATACAAAAATGGTTAAAGTACATACGTAAAGTTCTTCCATTCAGACCCCTCGAACAGTATTTATGCATAGCCCTGGAAGGAAAAATAGATAGAGGAAGAATTAGATAGGTCAGGGTCAACTAATCCCAGAAAAATGGAGTTGTTACAAAATTCTGAATCAGCAACTTGTACAGATGATTGGAACAAAATTAAGCATGCTCTTAACGACGATCATCATAGACTACCATACGAAGCAGTTAACCTAGACTACAATAATCAAGAACTACGATAAGAAGCAGTAAACCTAAACATGTTAAAATTTTGCTACAGGAAACAATTAAAACAACCTTGCGGTTTTGGTTGCACATCAATATCAAAAACCAAATCAAGTTGGGACAAGATTGAGGAAAGCACTTACAAAATCAATTAAAGGAGTTAGTATTTTAGCTAAAAGAGTGTAGGTGCGGGGAGCAACCTAGCCTGTCAATATCTGTGGTGTCCTCAGGCCTTGATCTTCCTTTCGTCATCACATCTCTATTTGTATGTGTTTGGCCATTCCCTGTTAACCCAGTCCACATGGTACCTTTAAACTGAATGCATACAAGGTTTGGATTTCTCTTCTTTTATCTCTCTTTCTTTTTCAATTTTTGTGAATTCATGGTGCCCTATATAGTTAATATTTTTAGTTAGGGTTATCTGTATATATACCCCTTACATCATGGGTATTTGCAAAAATACCCCTACAAATCTTATTATTTGCAAAAGTACCCCTCAAATCATCAACTTTGTAAAATAATACCCCTTAAATCAATGAATCATCAACTTAGTGCTAAAATTTTGACTATTTTTGTTGATAATTTTTGCATTGCAAATACAAATTATCTTATCAAAGTTGATGATTATTTGCTTTGAGGATTTTTTCCCGAAATTGATAATTTGAGTGGTAGCTTTGCAAATACTAAGATTTAGGGGGTATATTTGCAAATACCAATGATTTAAGGGGTATATATGCAAACAACCCTTTTAGTTATACATACATATATGTAGGATGAGGAGTTTGAGCTAGATTGCCATGGTAGTACAGGTGGATACTATCATTCCAAATTTAAAAATAAATTTCCAATTTGAAAATGTGTCGTTTGTTGTGCTCTACTACACATGAACCGTCTAGAAACAAAAATTCTATCCAAATATCCTAGCTCAAACTCAGTGAATATTACTAGACTTTTCTCAAAACTACTAATCGAAAAGCAAGACAAAGCAAAGGTTAAAAAAGCAGCTTAAGCTGGACCTTTAACAAACAACTTTACCTGACAGCACAAATGAGCTGGGAGATATACAACAGTGTGGAACAAGGATATAATTTCTCACCTGTTAGACAAAAATTTCCGGCCACACAATTTTTTTGGACAGAAGTGAATTATTGGTGCAAGGGTCAATTTATATCTTGAAACCATAGTTCTGCATTACAACTCTATGAGACCTTCGTCTGTTTATAGGACTAAACAGAAAATAGAGAAGAAAGAGCAAGAGAAAGAGAGAGAGAATAAGGGAGATGGATTCTGAAGCAAGGGGAAAGAAACCTCATGTAGTCTGCATCCCCTTCCCAGCCCAAGGACACATAAACCCAATGCTAAAACTAGCCAAGCTCCTCCACTTCAATGGCTTCCACATCACCTTTGTTCACACCGAGTTCAATTACAATCAAATTCAAACAGCTAGCAGCTCTTCACCTCTAGAAGGATTGGACGACTTTGAGTTTGAGATCATCCCCGATAGTCTCCCACCCTCCAACCCAAGCACCAAACAAGATGTTGTTGCACTTTGCACGACCATTCGAACAAACTTTTCAGCACCTTTCCGCAGGCTCTTGAATAGGCTCAATGAATCTGCAGGTGTTCCTTCTATCAACTGCATAATTTCAGATAACTTCATGAGCTTTACCCAAGATGTCGCAGCAGAACTTGGAATTCCTGACGTTGTGTTCTGCACATGCGGTGCCTCTAGCTTCATGTGCCTCCTTCATACTAGGAAGCTCATAGAAAGAGGAGTGCTACCACTCAAAATAAGGAAATTACTTAAACTTTGTTTTAAATTCACTTGAGGAATGTGCTTAAGTATAAAATCATCAGTTCCTACTGATCAAAAGCATGCAAATTACCTCAGGAATTTCTATATCCAGTTATAGCTCCCACTCGAAGCTAGGTTTTAGAAAATAACCTTAAAGATCATTCATTTCCCTAATCAACTTCTTCCTCTCCTTTGTTGCCTCGTTATAGTATCTACTGCAATGTTTAAAGGCTAAACTTCACTTAAATATCCTATAGTTTACCCATGTTTGCACTTATATACCCTAAATTGTTTTTGCAATATTTAAATACCCAAATGTTTTCAAAAATTGCATGTTACTCCCTTCTGTTACCTAAACGTGGAAACATTCCCTCAAATATTCTTATGGGAGACTTGGGAGTGCCATGTGACTGTTTTAGGACATTTTGACCTTTTTTTATAATGTGAAACCACAACTAAGCCATCTTCCTTCTACGTGTAACATTCATTCTCAGTTAAACCCAACTCCCCTTTGTACGAAAAATCAGGAAAATCCATAGAAGTGGGTCGCCAGAAAATTCATTTGGTTCACCGAGCTTCAGTGTTGGGAAAAAAACCCACATAAAGTCATGAGTGTAAACAATTGTCGAAACCAACTACAACAATGACCAAAAACAACCAATCAACCCATATCAACAAATATAAGTATCAATAGACTAAGTTAAGAAAACATCAAAATCCACAGTGATTAGATTCATTGCGTCCAATGGAACCTTACGCAAAAAATAGCTTCATTCGCACAACGTCCTACATGACTCAATGGAGAAGAAGCAGAATGTATCTGCTGTCGTCAGCCTATGCCTCCAAATGCAGCAACTCAAGAGGCATTGCCATGGAATGATGGAACTATAATGCATAGGTATGATTGTGTTAAGGCTTGTTCTGCTGGTCATGAGCATATGGGATGGTGTTGTTAATGGTATTGTTAAAGTATGAGAGAGAATCTTGGGTAAATTTCTCTTGAGTTGAATATTGAGTGTGCACATATATTTATACAAGTAGAGAAGTGTGAGGTGTGTTCTCCTAAGCAATGTGGGACTAAAATCCACTACAATACACTATTATCAACAGCCCTCATCAAACTCATGTTGGATCAAACAAAGTGAGTTTGCGTACAAGAAACTGAAACCGATGAACATGTAAGGCCTTTGTGAAGAAATCTGCAAGCTCGTCAGCGGATGAGACATGAGGAAGTAGAATTGTCTTGTCATTGATAACTTGGTGACGGACAAAATGAGCGTCGATCTCAATATGTTTGGTCCTTTCATGAAATACTGGATTATTAACAATCTGGATGGCACTCTTATTATCACAGTAGAGAGGAGTAGGAGTCGTAACAGAAATGCCGAAATCACTGAGAAGACGACGAAGATGAATAATCTTTTTAGCTGTTGTGGACATTGCACGATACTCTGTCTCGGTACTGAAAAGAGCAATAACATCTTGTTTCTTACTTCGTCAGGAAATAAGGAAATCACCAAAAAATATACAATAACATGTGGTAGACTTTCTGATAGTTGGATCACCGACCCAATCAGCATCAGAATATACACAAAGCTCTAACTTAGATGTAGCAAGAAACAAAAGAGAGCGAGTGCTAGTACCCCGGAGGTACCGAAGAATCCGTAATAAGACAGCATAGTGTACAGAACATGGGACACTAACAAATTGACTGATAATACCAACAGCATAAGAGATATCTGATCAAGAGATGTACAAATAGACCAACTGACCAACACGATGTCGATATCGGGTAGGATCAGATAGAGGCTCACCGTCAGTAGAGCAAAGTTTGACATTCTGCTGGAGTGAAGTATCGACAGTTGTATTGTCAGTTAGCTCAACTTGATTTAGAATATCTGAGAGATATTTCTGTTGAGACAGTAATACACCCCGCGGACCTTGAGAAATTTCTAGACCAAAAAAGCACCGAAGAGATCCAAGATCCTTCATGTGGAACTGTTATTACAACTGAGATTTTGCGTATTATATACCTACCATATCATCACCTGTAATGATCATATCATCTATATAGATGAGTAATAAAACTCTACCACGCAATGTAGTGCGAACAAACAAAGAAGCATCTTGATAACTTTTCATAAAGCCCGCTTTGAGCACGACATCGCGAAAACACTCAAACCAAGCACGGGGTGCCTGCTTGAGACCATAAACAGTAAGGCGAAGAAGACATACATGTCCCGGAGGAATATTTGACCCTGGAGGTGGTTGCATATATACGGTCTCTGATAAAAAGCCATGAAAAAAAGTATTTTTGACATCCATCTGGTATAAGGGCTAACGATGAGCAGCAGCGACCGCAAGGAGAGTACGAACAGTGGGTATCTGAGCAACAGGAGCAAATGTCTCCTCATAATCAATACATTATTGCTAAGTAAAACCTCGAGCCACTAAATGAGTTTTTCGACGTTCAATGGTGCCATCAGGACGAAACTTGATCTTATAAACCCATTTACTACCAACAAGAGAGATCCCAGGAGGACAGGGAACAACATCACAGGTATGAGTTTGCTAAAAGGCTTAAAATTTCTCAGTCATAGCCTGTCGCCACTCTAGAATTTGAACTGCCTCTTGGAAGGACTTTGGCTCAACAATAGTATGAATGGCAGCAAGAAAGTTATAAAAGATAGGTGAATAGGAAGTAACCGAAACATACCGGACAAGCATAACATGTGGGCGTTTACCTCGACTAAGAGCAAGAGGAACCTCAGGCGGGAGAGATGCTGGCACAGGTGCGTGGAGATCAACAGTATTTTCTAGAGTGAGAGTTGTGTCCACGGGATATGGATTAGATGGTGTAAGAGAAGGCTCGGGTGAGGAAGAGTCAACAGAAGGAGAGTGAGAGATGTCAGGGAGATCTCGAAAGAAAAACTGAGGTAAGAAGTAGGTGATGCAGTTAACAGGGAAGCATGATCAGTAGAGTGGAGGAAATTAAAGTCATCAGAAGCAGAATAATATGAAGA